AGGAGTTAACTCAGTGTATGTCAGCAAGAGACTGGATTTGATTCCATTTCTTTCTCCTCCTTTTTTAACCTTAGATAAGGATAATGAGAATAATGGTAATGGTAAATTTACCAATACAAACGGGGGCCATAAAAAGCTAAATATTTAGAATATTTTCTTGGCTTAAAATTTGTGTGTTTAGGGAGTTTAGGATGGGTAAAGCAGGCAATAATGGCTACGGCTACCATTACCAAGGGTTTACTCTGTGCCTGGGTACTAGGCTAAAACTCTACCATTCCCTTATTTAAAACTTAGAACCATTCTATAAAGACAACAGCACTATTTCATAGGTGAGGAAATTTACCGAAGTTCCTCAGCCGGTAAACGGGGGTTTCATGATTTCAACTCAGGTCTGCTTAACGCTGGAGCCCATGTTTTGTTTTGTTTTTTCTGCTTTATCTCCCCAAATCCCCCCAGTACATAGCTGTATATTTTAGGTGCAGGTCCTTCTAGTTGTGGCACGTGGGACGCCGTCTCAATGTGGCCTGATGAGCAGTGCCATGTCGGCGCCCAGGATTCAAACCGGCAAAACCCTGGGCCACTGCAGCGGAGCGCAAATTTAACCACTCGGTCATGGGGCCAGCCCCTGGAGCCCATGTTTTAAACAATGATTATATCATAATGTTTCCCACCACAAACTACTCTCATCTCTGCCAAAAATCAAATTCTTTCACCATGAGTCCAAATTGGGGTGAGTTTTTTCTTATAGCCTTTTACCCCAAGGAAAAATATTTATTCTAGAGTGACATTTAAAAAAAAAGGTAGCGATAAATATAAAACACTCAATTCATCTGCTTTTAGCTTAAGAACAGTCATAAAACAACATAATTTTACACAAGTTAACATTATTATTTTTGTTTCACTTCTATATTTTGTCTAGGTGGGAGAGAGAAGTGAGGTGAGGGCAAGAGGAAATGGAAAGAAATGTAAAGGAAGGCCTGGGAAGTTGAGGGGAAAGGAAGGTTGGGGGGAATGAGGAAAGGGAGGCATGGAAACAATTCCTAGAAACAGTGGGGAGCAGTCCTGGGGAGACTTTTGTGCCATCTTTGACCATCGCCACTGGGAACTTTCTCCCATGTCTCTCTTTTAATCAAGATCTTTCTTTTAACATGATCAATTTCTTCCCTCCACTGGCTTAATCTTCTTTGCCTTCATAAATACACAGCTCTCTTCTAACATGGGAAAATCTTCCCTTGGTCTTGAGCCCTTTCTATCACTGGCTAAATTAGTGATTGACTTGAGAGAAAAGGTCTGAGCATCCATTTGCCAGGCATTAGCTGCTAGGTCCCAGGGTACAGAGTAACAGAAGATAGGGTTCTTTCCTTTTTATAAGCAAACTTTCTGAATGATTGGACATTAATCATTGGAAGGTAGATATCTAAGACCAAATTTTATAATGATAATTGACTCAATTAAGAATTAAAACCTGCCAAACTAGCTGATAGTGTCATATAGAAAGGTCAACCACCATAGTGATTGTTTTCCCTCTTTTCAACCACTTTTTTTTTTTGTGGACTATAATCACCATCTTCATTTCCTTTCTGTCCAGTCATTATGACAGTTTGATGCAGACCTACCCCAGTCCTAAGCTGCAACATTGAATGTCACCAATTACTTGCATATTGAAAAATCAAATATTTCTTTTACCCTCATACTTTCTCTTCTTCCTATTGTACATATTATATGTATATAATGGATGATTTCCTTCACCTCTTCTCCCCACCTTCAAATTATTTCTTTCTAGACCTATAGCTCAAATATTCATTCCAGTCTAGAAGAGCTTTATCTCAAACAGGATAAGTTTGGTTAGAAAAGCTTTACCTTGAACTGTGTGAGCTTGGCTTGCTAAATTCGGGCCAAGCCACTCAATGAGAAGTTGAGATTATCTTCTGCTAAGTCATATCTTCAAGTCATAGATTTTATTCTTTCACATCTGGAACATACCTTCTACTGATGATGGTTCCTCTCCTAAAAGGAGATAAAGTCTTTATTGTGTGTAATTTTGAGGCGGGGGTAAATTATTTTACAATTGGTATGAATATATCAGAAGGAGACTTGAAGTTTAGAAATCTAATTTTTTGATATTCAATGACTCAGGCCCTTTGGCTGTCTAGGTATAAGGGATGGGGGTAGGGGTGGGGGAAAGCTCAACTTTGCTGGAAGTAATCGAGGCTGAATTCTAACTTTGTCCAATCTACCTTCTCTTACCTTAGGGGGAAGTCCACCAAATTCCCTGGATTTTACCATAAGAATCTTTCCTCTGGGCCTTCAACAACATCATCCTTCCTTTAAAGGCGTAGACTATCTGCTTAAACATCTGGTTACAGTCTCACATGTTTCTCAGATCTACTTTGTGTACCCTCATTGTGAAGTTACTTATTTTGGGAACTGAGAATCCTATGAAATTGGTTATCAAGTTTATTATAGAGCTATTTCCTCTTTGCCCTTCTCTGTTTAGAATTACAAAAGTTTACATTTTTTTTTATTGTTCCATGTGTTTTGTTTACTGACATAATAAAGAGATTTGCATTGCATCCATATAAAGAATAAATAAGTGGCTGAAAAGAGGGAAAACAGTTACTATGGTCATTAATCTATCTATATGACATTAAACAACTGGTTTGGCAGACTTCTATTCTTAATTTATTCAACTATCATTGTAAAATATGGTCTTAGATATTTACCAGCTCATGACTAATTTCTGATTCATAATCCTGCCTTTTATGACTATTTGCCTTTAGAAATTTTCCAATAGAAATGAAAGCTTGAAAAATGAATATAAACTAATTTGAAGAACCCAGAGCCCAGATGAAGGGAATAGAGCCAATTTATATAATGAGGCTCTAATTCATCCAACTTTAAAAGACCATACAACATATGGGCTCTTGGAGTCTTAAGAATATGGTTTAGACTTAGATTTGCTAGTAAATATTCACAGTTGCATTCATTATCTATAATTATTTTTCCAGTAGAGCTGGTGAGGTCTGCGTTTTAATAGTCATGGATAAAGAATGAGAAAAGAGATAACACATGTGAATACACTTACTGAACTGTAATGTCTATGTAATTGTTTATAACAACAGTTACTGTTTTAAGTACCTCTGAAAGTCAGGCTAACTCTCCATTGCTAAGGTAAGGAGCATGCAGTCAGTGGCAGATTGTATCAGTCCCCATCCAGTCAGGAGAAAAATGGCTCACTTAAACCAAGTAATGGAGGAGATTTTAATGAAAGGACTGTTTACAAAGATGTAGGCAAGGTAGGCAAGGTCAAAGTGAACCAGCAAGCATGATGAAACACTACGAGCTAGCAATAATAAGGAGCCATTATCTTCCTAGGCCTGAAGCAGCAAGACAAAAGATTAGTTACCAGAATGCAGAGAGAGAGAAAGCAGGTGTAGGAGAGTCTGTCTGACAGGTGTTGTGGCCTTTGGTAGAAGGAAGGGTGAGACCATGGCCAAGAGAACAGATACCTGGTCTCACTCTTCTCTCCTCACTTTAATCTTCTACTAATGCTTCCCATTGGCTGATCCCAACTAGAGGCCAGAAGACAACACAGTTCATTGATGCAATTTATACAAATCAGCCTCTGGAACACAGGGCAGGGAAGAGAAGTTTGGAGAGTGAACTTGTTCTGGAAGAGAAAGAAATATATCCAGCTCACAAGATAAGCCTGATATCTATTGCTGACCTCTATTCACTTGGGGTCAGTTAACTTTTATTGGCTCAGATATCAGCATCACTCCTTCCCTTGAATACCACTGATTACTTCCTTCTTGACAAATGGAATGTTTCTTTTACTCTCATACTTTCTCTTGTTTCTTTTTGTACATACTGGTCATCTCCTCTACCTTTTTTCCACCTCAAATTTATTTCTAGAACTACAGCTCAACTCTCCATTCCAGTCCAGAAAAGCTTTATTCTGAATTGGATAAGCTTGGCTCCCTAAATCTGGGACAAGCCACTCAAAGGGAATTAAGGTTCTATCTGATTCTTTTCCCCAAAAGACTATGTAACACTTACAAGGGATCATTGCCTTGGGTGGGGAGTTGGACCATGACTTCTAAAGTCTATGACTATTACGAGATAGAAACATGACAATATTGGCATCATGCCAAGGCACACACTAGCTGTCTTTATAGATCACTATCTGCTGTACCAACCTCTCCTGAAAACTGTCAGGCAAATAGGAAAAGGAAAAAACAATTTTTTTTCTGAATTTATACAGGAACTTCTAATCAGGAAGTGTTAAGCTGTTAGAAGATGTTAGTGTATTTAAAACACACCTTGTGACGGTATCCAGCCTTGTTGACTTCGTCTTGGTGTGAATAGAGTCCATTGAATAATGGCTCTGGGCAAGTTTACCAACACACTTTGCCAAGATGACACTACATTTAAGGACACATAGTTTCAACCCTGCTTTCTCTTTGCTCTCATCTTTCACTATTCTCTCCAACATTCATTGTGCATGTGCACACACCCAGACATACACCCACAGATAGACATACTCCATACCAGCATAATTCCTTCTTAACTCTTCTTAACCCTGCTCCTCCTGCCAGGAACACTCTTTCTGCTCCTTGTATTTTTCCCATCCTGCCACTCATCATATTCTATTATATTTGCTTATTAATGACATTAAGTTGTGAACACCCTGAGAGCAGGGGCTATTTCTTACTTATTTGTCATTTTATCTCCAGGACCTTGTCCAATACCTGGCATATAATAGCTTTTCATTGTCTGTTGAATTAATAAATAAATGAAATAGCAATGGGAAAAGTTTTATTCACCAATATTTATCCTAAAGTTAGTGCTGCTTAGGATGATCTCATTTGTAACTGGGAAGGAAAATTGGAAAGTGTCTGAATAAGTCCCAAGGACAGTTTAGTTCCTGAATGAGCAGCAGAACAGTAGACAGTGCATTGCATTGTGACGGCGCTGGATTGCCAGACAATTGTGAGGAAACTGGCTGTACCAGTGCTTCTCAGATTAGATGCCCATCAGAGTCCCTTCAGGTTACTTGCCACAATTATCGAAGCCAGACCTGCCTCCCAAACCTTCTGAGTCAGCATCTCTGCGTGGCGGAGGGGGGAGGGGTTGGGGGGGAGGGCCTCTGAGAATCTGTGTTTTATAATCTGCCACCTCCATCCCCAGGTGGTGGTTCTGGTGCACACTCAGGCAGGAGAAGCTTTGCTCAACGCGTGAACGGTCTTGAAGCTCCCGAAGGACTTGTGATCTTGTCATGGGCATGAGTCCTCAACATCCGTAAGTTTGTAAATGATATTTGTAAATATTCAGTTTTATGTTTTAATTTTTTATGACTTGCAGGCTTTCCCTTAGGGAGGTGTTTAATTTTCTTTGGCTGTTTTGTATTGCAGGGTCTTATTCACTTGATTAATTTTTAATCGGGGAATCATGCTGAGCTATTTCCAGACTATGAGTGGAGGCAGCTCTGTACTGCTGTCCCAGTGGAATTCTGATTAATGCACTTTCTCTCTGGTCCCTGTGGACCACCAGTTTCCTGGTCCTCCAACTATATTTGTTCTGTTGAGAGGGAGGCAGCAAGTTGGAGAAAGGTAAGCACAGCTGAGTGAGGTTGAGGTATGCAGGTGGCAGAGTGTTAAGACCTACTTTTGCACGCCCGTAGGTATGAATTTACTTGTGTGTTTCCATAAAATCATCCAATATAATTCTACCTCTTTGTTTTCACTTGCCTTTATTGGAAAATTGCTTTCTGTAAAATTAAGCATTTAACTTCATCAGAGACGTATGCTAAAATTTCCTAATATGTATCCCAGCCTGGAAAATGGCTGTTAGAGTCGTTTTTGTTAGCTGGTTTTGCTGATTCTTCTATTTAGGCTTGTTATTGAAGCCAAGTGAGTCATTTTCCCATAACAGCTCATAATAACTCAACAAATGATCTTCAGAACGCTCAACAGACCTCTGCTGACAGTTACCTGGTGGACTCACTGTTTCTCCTTGTGAGTCACATTTTACATCTTTGTACAAAGCTGCACGAAAATATTAGATACAAAAGCAGCATGACACCTAAGTTCCCAGAAAGATAGGGTGTTGGTTATCTGTTGCTGTGTAACAAATTACCACAGAATTAGTGGTTTGAACATCACTGATTTATTAGCTCACGGTCCTGTGGATTAGAAGTCTGACCAGAGCTCGACTGGGTTCTATGGTTAAGGTCTCACAAAGTGGAAATCAAGGTGTTGGCCTTGTGGGAGAGGGGGGGAGGGTCTCTTATCCAGAGGCTCTGGGGAAGAATGTGCCTCCATACTCATTCAGGGTGTTGGCAGAATTCAGTTCCTCTCTGTTGTGGGACTGAGGTTGCCATTTCTTTGCTGGCTGTTGGTTGGGATCTCTCTTAGCTCTTAGAGGCTGCTCTCTGGTCCTTGCATGTGGTCCCCTCCATTTTCAGAGCCAATAATGGTGCATGGAGTTCTTTTTCATGCTTCAAGTCTCTCTGATTTCACCCTCTCCTGCCAGTCAGAGAAAATGCTGCTTTTAAAGGGCTCAGGTGATTTAGTTCAGGCCCATCCATGTATCTTCTATATCTTAAGGTCAATTGATTTGGGACTTTACATGTTAAAAATCCCTTTACAGCAGTACCTAGATTAGCATTTGAGTAAATAACTGGGGGACAGGAACCTCTGGAGTCCATCTCAGAATTCTGCTTAAAACAGACGGGGACATTATTTTAAATGGTAAGACAATTCTTATACTTTACAAATACGTAATTTATATTATTCAATTTTAATTAGCTGATAATATGGCTGCTATCTTTGGGAAAAATACTAGTTGTGTCAGTGTATTATAACATGTCTGCATTTTACGTAAGCCAAAAATCAGAGCACAAGGATGTATGATCTTTTACTGAATTTAAAGGTATGCTTCCTCTTGAGTTTTGAATGAAATAGCTCATGTCTACAGGCAGAACTTTCAGGTCATCTAAATGCACACTCCAATGCTGAAGTCTACTAGGAATTTCTATAGTTTGATAATTATGTGCTAGGCCTGAGGCCCCATTCTTTCCTAAGTCTCAAGTGTCAAGAATTCAATTATGACCCAAGATAGCTAAGGCAAAACCCCTGTCCTGATTGGTGTATCTTATGTTTAAACCACAAACATTTAATGAAAAGTCCTTTTCCTGACCATTTCCATAGTCCAGCTAGCATGTCGTATCAAAGTATTTAAAGTTCTTGCTAAATGTATACTGTACTTTTTTTTTTCTTCAATAGCATAGAGTAGCAAGTGAATGGGATCTGTTTGGGATAATATACTTAAAATCGGTGAGAGAAAATAGTTTTTCCTATAAGTGGTGTCATCAGACCTGGGTCAAAGATTAGCATGTATGGTTGAACTATGGATTTGCTTATTGACATTGGGATCAAGAACAAAAGCTATAGCAAGGTGTGCAAAGAAGAGGGGAGACGCAGGAGGTGGATGAGACCAGGAAAGTGCCCAGGGGATGACTGCTCAGCACAACTAAGGGCTGAAACAAGATGAACTGTCCAAACTGGTCAGAGTGAGGTTGTGCTTCTATATCTGTGCACACCCTGAAGCCTGAGTTTGAAGCAAGGCAATGAGTCAGACTAGAAAGAGTGCAGGAACCAGGAGAGCACAGGTAATGGAGACCAGTGGTTCTTAACTTCTCATAAAACCTATTGTCCTCCTTCCTCAAAAGAACACATACATGAAACCACACATACTGTTTTATATTTAATTCTGGACCACATAGGGACTGGGACTCTGTGTAGATGTTTAGATCAACAGCACCCAATACAGGCTCCGGAGTTTGGGTGGAGACCCAGAACACAGGGACCAGCTCTGAATCAGCCACCAGAACCCTAATGTGGCAGCCTGAGTAGAAGGCGCCAAGATCCTTGATTCTGAAGTTACCCCATTCTTTCACCAAGAACCTCCTTATACCCCCTGGTCACTCAGAAGCTAGTCTTGTGGTGCAACCCCTACAAAGTCTAGAAGGAGTGAATTTAGGGGATGGCCTTGGGCTTGTCAGATAGAAAGAAGGAGAGTCCTAATATCTAGATTGTATTCTCAAACAGATCTAATGGATACTTAAATTGGAACTACATTTTTTTCTTTAAAGATTCTTACTTTTCTTACACATTTCTGACACCTTTATGATACAATTCTCAAACCTGCCCATCTGAGAAAATTGTTAAAAGGCTTTTTAAGCTGGAAGTTCACATAAGCTTATTTAGTTTACGTTCCTGAGTATTTAAATTATTAAGGAGGAGCCTCAAGAAATTGTTGAGTGAGATTGGTGCCTAATAATTGATGAAATACAAATAACTTTGAACTGGAAAGAGAGCAATGGCAGAGTTAGTCTCTAAGGCAAGATAGTCAAGAGAAAGCATTTAAAAAATATTGTTTGGGTTTTGTCCAGGAATATTTGTCAAAAAGTCACTGAAGTTAGAGTTCTAAGATGTCAGTCTTTCCTCTTCCCTTTATCAAATCTATAGGTGGAAAAACTAGGCAGGTTGAGAAATTCATTAGTGAAGAGTATCTACTCCAGAGAGGCCTGAGAATTACACACGTAGATTGTTCCATTAGAGGGGACCATCCAGGCCTGTATGCACCTTGTGCTCAATGGAGACCCAGTGTTTCAGTTATTCTTCCTGACTGGTATCACCATCAGTGGCTGAAACTTAGTTTCAAGAAGAAATAGTTTGGGGAATTTTAGGCCACTAAGCATGTTGTTGGAGCCAGAACTGAAGGTTGGTCTGTGTTCCAAGTTTAGCTCCTCTTTAGGAAGGAAACACTGCTGCTACCTATGGACATCTCAAATGTGTGAGACTCCTTCGTAGGTAGGGCACTCATGTGCAAGGACAGATCCCAGGAAGGGACTCTGGAAATGAGGCTGTTTGGGGGAAATCTATTTCAAATGAATGTGTTTGGAAAGCTCTAACTACTCTTACTTCTAGTGAGTAATCATTTGCATTGAACATGAGTTAATAAGTGGGAAATATAATTCATAAATCATTTAATATTTGTTATCCTTTCTGTGTGTGTGAGCATGTGCATATTTACAATCCTAAACCACATATGTATTCAGGGTGCAGTGTTCTTAGCTGCAATATTTCGTTGATGGCTACAACTCTGTGAGGTAGGCAGGAAAGTTATTAATATTCTTATCTTTAAAAGATGCTTAACTGAGGCAGAGAGGGATAAAGTAACTTCCCAAAGTTACGTGCGTTATAGATGGCAGGCGTGGGATTTGAACCCTGTCTCCTTACTCTAGCATATTTGCAGATGTGCTTATGCTCCACCATCCTCAGGAAAGGTGCTCTATGATTTGTTTTTTCAGAAGTGATGGTAAGATTGTGCTTTTTAGTGGTGCCCCTTAGGAGCACCAGTAGCAATACCCATGTCAGGAGTGAGTGGCACAGCCTGTGCATCTGAAGTGGGGCTTTTATTCCGATGGCATTTAACTGGCATATTATGGTGATCAAAACCATGTCCTATTCAACATTAGTAGATGAATACAAGCCAACACCAAAGGAATGCCTAGAATGGTGCCTTACACTTGTTAGACACATAAACATATTTGTTGATTTGACTACTGTTCCTAGTATTACATATATGATTGAAAATTCTATAGAGTGGGTTTTGTCAAAGAGTTCACTTATTTACTCATTAATTCAACAAATATTTAACCAGCAGCCAGTCTATGCTTGGCATTGCTCTGGGCTTTAGGAATTTAGGACGTAAGACCACAGATTCCTGCTTTCACGGAGCTTATAGTCTAGTATGGAGAGACAGATACTTAATAAGAAAAGGTCATGTATGATGAGTGATCCAAAGAAAATGTAAATGATTAAGGTGATAAAATGGCTGAGCTGGGGAGTTGGGGGGTCTATTTCAGAAAATTCTTCTCTGAGGAGTTAACATGTATGCTGAGACTTGAAAGACATGAATGTGCTGATCTAGGGGGATGAGCTTTCTGGGAAAGGACTCTTAGAAGTTAATAAGCTAGGTGTGTTTGAGGGACCAGAAAACCAGAGTGCTGGGGTCCAGCTCCAGCCGAACAGGGTCTCCTGAGGGATGGACGGCTTTGGCAAAGGAGGAGGCAGTGAGACAAGGAGTTTGGTGTCCAAGTCTAACTTTATTTTGTGTATGTATGATTTATATAGGGCTCAGGGTACGCAAAGATGATTTCATGAAACAGTACTGGGCTCGCGAAAGGGGGTTTTTGTAAGGTAAACAATAGTCCTAAGAGCAATTGATTGCAAGGTAGACAATAGTCCTAAGAGCAATTGATTGTGTGTAGACCTGGGGGAAGTCAAGCTTCTGCCTAAGAGTAATTGATTGTGTGCAGGCCTGAGGGGAGCCAAGTTTCTGTAATTCTTTACTTCAAGGAGGCCACCCCCTGCGGCCTCCTGACTCAGTGGGCCGTGGTAACCGCCGTCCTCCTACAGAGATCTGTGGGGGCTACAGATTTCTTTGTTCCCTCTCCACTCCCATTGCTCTACCTAACCAAAGGACGGGTCAGAATGTTCTTTCCCTAGAAGATGTTTTTTCCCCAGAACTTTCCCTAGAATAT